AAGGCTTACAGCCTACGTCGTCCAAACATACGTCTGTCACTTTGGGGTAGCTGCTACCACAGGCATCCGGCTCCTAGACCACTGCGGTATTTACATACACCCCTACCGCTCCCTTACCGCCTAGCCCACGCCTTTCCCCTTCCCCCATTCCGACGGCCTGTAATCTACGCCGTCCCCATATCAATCCCCGCAGTCCCGCTCCCCTTTCCGCAAGCTTACCGCAATCGACAATTCCTCCATCGGCTGTTTCCATTTCCGCCTGCTTCACAGTCTACTGTCCCTCCCAACCGGCTTTGTTAGTTGACCTGATATGCCCTTCCCTGCCGGTGGGTCTTGTCGCCCGTTACCAGCTTCAGCGATTCCTACTTACCGTCTACCGTGGCCGGCAGCGGCCTCAGACAGTCTCTACGTACCTCCCAGTTCCCGCTCTAAAGGCCTTCCGTAATCACTCCCTTCCTGACCTACAAGGGTTTATCGACGAGGCTTAGTGGACGTCATTGCATTATTCTACGTACGTATATACGTTCACGTACCAAGCCTCCAAGGTTGGTCGATTAGTCGCAATCCTTACCGTGCGATGATGGCTACGTTACCACTGCTAGAGACAGCCACCCATCCAACAGACAACGTCCGTTCAATTCCCCCATTAGTGATCCTTAGGCACCTATCCGCTAACGCAGCCCTTAGGATGACAGTTATTCAACTGCTTAGCACACCTTAACTCATTCCGGAGGCTTAGCAGTACCGTAGTCAATAACAACGCTTTAGACAAATGAAATATTTACTCCGAAATATGAAAAGGAACAATACACAGGACATACTGCCAGGTGGGGGAAATCGTCCGCGACAGCCTTGGGCAGCTGGTTTGCCACAACAGTAACATTCAACAGTTAGGTGTACAGTAAAAAGGGTACGCGTCGACGATTGGCTCTCCTCATTCGACAGCTCCCTCGTTGACCGGCCGGTAACGGCCACAGGCACTGTACGTAGGCATGGAGAGTAAGTGGACGACGTACAGCGTCATACCGTCCAGTCTTCCGTCTGCGCGTTCGCTGGTTAGCTTCTCCAATCGTCGATGGTTGGCTCTCCTCAATCGACAGCTCCCTCTTTGACCGGCCGGTAACAGCCACAGGCACTGTAGGTAGGCATGGAGAGTAAGTGGACGAAGTACAGAGCCTTACCTTCCAGTCTTCCGTCTGTGCATTCGTTGGTTAGATTCTCGAATCGTCGATGGTTGACTCACATCATTCGACAGCTCCTTCTTTGACCGGCCGGTAACGGCCACAGGCACTGTTGGTAGGCATGGAGAGTAAGTGGACGAAGTACAGAGTCTTGCACTCCAGTCTTCCGTCTGCGCCTTCATTGGTTAGTTTCTCCAATCGTCGATGGTTGGCTCACATCATTCGACAGCTCCTTCTTTGACCGGCCGGTAACGGCCACAGGCAATGTAGGTAGGCATGGAGAGTAAGTGGACGAAGTACAGAGTCTTACCTACCAGTCTTCCGTCTGTGCCTTCTTTGGTTAATTTCTCCAATCGTCGATGGTTGGCTCACATCATTCGACAGCTCCCTCTTTGACCGGCCGGTAGCAGCCACAGGCACTGTAGGTAGACATGGAGAGTAAGTGGACGAAGTACAGTGTCTTACCTTCCAGTCTTCCGTCTGCCCGTTCGTTGGTTAGCTTCTCCAACCGCGGACGGTTGGCTCTCCTCAATCGACAGCTCCCTCCTTGGTCGGCCGGTAACGGCCACAGCCACTGCAAGTAGGCATGGAGAGTAAGTGGACGAAGTACAGAGTCTTACCTTCCAGTCTTCCGTCTGTGCCTTCCTTGGTTAATTTTTCCAATCGTCGATGGTTGGCTCTCCTCATTCGACAGCTCCTTCTTTGACCGGCCGGTAACGGCCACAGGCACTGTAGGTAGGCATGGAGAGTAAGTGGACGAAGTACACAGTCTTACCTTCCAGTCTTCCGTCTGCGCGTTCGTTGGTTAGTTTCTCCAATCGCCGATGGTTGGCTCTCCTCAATCGACAGCTCCCTCTTTGGCCGGCCGGTAACGGCCACAGGCACTGTAGGTAGGCATGGAGAGTAAGTGGACGAAGTACACAGACTCCAACTTTCCAGTCTTCCGTCTGCGCCTTCGTTGATTAGTTTCTCCATCCGTCGATGGTTGGTCCTCCTCAATCGACAGCTCCTTCTTTGACCGGCCGGTAACGGACACAGGCACTGTATGTAGGCATGGAGAGTAAGTGGACGAAGTACACAGACTCATACTTTCCAGTCTTCCATCTGCGCGTTCGTTGGTTAGATTCTCCAATCGTCGATGGTTGGCTCTCCTCAATCGACAGCTCCCTCTTTGACCGGCCGGTAACAGCCACAGGCACTGTAGGTAGGCATGGAGAGTAAGTGGACGAAGTACACAGACTCCAACTTTCCAGTCTTCCATCTGCGCTTTCGATGGTTAGCTTCTCCAACCGCCGACGGTTGGCTATGCTCAATCGACAGCTCACTCTTTCACCGGCCGGTAACGGCCACAGGCACTGTACGTAGGCATGGAGAGTAAGTGGACGACGTACAGCGTCATACCGTCCAGTCTTCCGTCTGCGCGTTCGCTGGTTAGCTTCTCCAATCGTCGATGGTTGGCTCTCCTCATTCGACAGCTCCCTCTTTGGCCGGCCGGTAACGGCCACAGGCACTGTAGGTAGGCATGGAGAGTAAGTGGACGAATTACAGAGTCATTCCTTCCAGTCTCCCGTCTGCGCGTTCGTTGGTTAGCTTCTCCAATCGTAGATGGTTGGCTCTCCTCAATCGACAGCTCCCTCTTTGATCGGCCGGTAACGGCC